GGAATGGCTTGGTCTGCCTGGCACCTGATTGAGCGGCTGGGGGCAGTTCAGGTGGGCCATGCGGTGGCTCCTCTCTTGCCCTGTCCTTTCTCGGCTGCCTTTTGGGCTTTTCCGCTGGTGGAACAAGGGGACGGGAGTTCTGGGTGCCAAATCCTCCCCCTTCCCGGGCTGCTGCTGCTCTTCTCTCTGGGTGGGACAACCCCCAGCTGCAGCCAGAGAGGCAGGAGAGCTGAGTGAAACTAGCTGTCCAGAGCCCTGCTAGGTAAGCCTCCAGGGGTCTTGAGCCCTGAAATAACCCCACTCTTACACCATTGATTTCCCTTCTTGCAGCTGTGGAAGGAGGTCCCGGGAGGCCAGAAAACATGGCCACAATTCTGTCTAGGTTACAGAGAGAGAGAGAGAGAGAGAGAGAGAGAGAGAGAGAGTCATGTTTGGAGGCGAACCCCAGGCAAAATAAAATGATCTTTTCATTTCACACTGAGACGACGGGATGTCATCTGCACGGGCAGGTTGATGCTGCCTGTTGCAACCCCGCTTGGAATACTCATCTGAGCAGACTCTGTAGACTAGCAGAGACGGTGCTGAACCCCGGCCCCTCCTGGTCTTGGGATGCTGGGAACGGCTCGAGGGGCCTGGCACCTCATGGAGCTGCGGTGTCCCTGGGAGCTGCTGGCACTTCGGGTCTGGCCTCTCCTCCCTGGCTTTCAGGGCTCCGCTCACTGCCCGGTCCTGGGAGAAGTCCCATCTTGGAACAAGTGGGTGAGGAGAGGCGTGTGTGTGTGTGTGTGTGCGAGACACACACACACACAGAGAGAGAGAGAGAGAGAGAGAGGACCTCCTGCCTGCACTCATTTGCAAGAGCCTGGCTCTCAATGGCTCAGCAGTTCCCTAAGACCTGAGACCTCTTGCTCCTTAGAGCTTCCCACTTCACTGATTTGGAGTTTGTTTGGGCTATTTTGTATTCCTCTTTCTTTTTCCACCAAAAACAGCAGGTACACAAGCAGGAGGAGGAGGAAGGGATGTCCCGTCTCCAGAAGCAAGTCTGTGGGCTGATGGAGGAGGTGTCCTGTCTCTCGGCTGAGAACCAGAGGCTGAAGCAGCAGGTACTTGTGTTGGGGGAGGTGACAATACATTTCTTGACTGAGAAGCAACAGCTGAAGCACTCGGGTCAGGATCCTGGGGAGGTGAAATCCCCTCTCCCAGTTGAGTTCCCAAAGGTGGAGCAGCAGGACCACAATCAGGACGAGGTGTCCTGTCTCTCGGCTGAGAACCGGAGCCTGAAGCAGAAGAGCCCTGATCCGGAGGAATGGACGTCCTGTCTCTCCGCTGAGAACCAATGGTGGAAGCGGCAGATACATGTGCTGTGGGAGGTGTCGTTCCATTTTTCCACTGAGAATCAACAGCTGAGGCAGCCGGGTCAGGATCCTGGGGAGGTGAAATTCCCTCTCCCATTTGAGTTCCCAAAGGTGGAGCAGCAAGATGGTGATCAGGACGAGGGGGCCCGACTCTCGGCTGAGAACCAGAAGCTGAAGGAGCTGGTAGACGTGCTGGCAGATGTTGTGTCCCATAACCTGTCTGAGAACAAACAGCTGAAGCTGCAGCGCCCTGATCGGGAGGAGCCGGTGTCCCGCCTGAAGCAAGAGGGGCCACTCAGGGACAGACCGGGAGCCTCCGGAGCCCTCCAAACAGTTAAAAAAACCCTTTTCGCTTCAGTAGCTTCTCCGTCCCTAGGAAGAACATCTGGCGAAGGTGAGTGTGTCTTATGGATGAGGAAGAGATAACAAACTAGGAAAGGGGGGCTGGGAAACAGAGAAGGAGGGTGCTGGGAAAAACCAAGCTGGCTGGGGGATTGCAGCCCCCCCCCAAAAAAAGGCAATTTCACAAGTTCTGACTGTTCCTTGCTGGGACAGGTCATGCAAACTGTGCAGGAGGGGGCCTCCTTTTCTTCCTGGGGGGGGGAGCCTGGACAGTTGGTGGGAACACAACCAAAGGAGCCCCTTGGCCTGCAATCCTGTTGACTGGGTTCCCTGCCTGGCTGGGCTTTATTCCTGGCCTTCACCAAGGAGGTTCCCAGCATCTCCCAGCCCAGGTCTAAAGTTCCACACAACTGCCCCCCCCACCTCCATCTCCCCCGCCTGCCCTCTTCCTTCTCTTCCCTTCCCTTTGTACCTCAAGGCCTGAATGAGGTGCATTTCATTTCATTTCATTTCATTTCATTTTTTATTTGTTTTTCTGGGTTCCAGGCCTGGCTCAGCTTTCCTTCAGTTCCAGCTCTGAACAGGCCTCCTCTTCTCCTGTCCTCTTTTCTTGTCCTCTTTCCCTCCCTCTCTTCCTCCCCAGTTCCTATCAGAGAGACCTTGCTTGGGGACAGCAGGATGAAAGCCAGCTAAGAGGGGGAGAGGGCAGAGACCATGGGGACACAGAAAGGGTGGGGGGGCTTGTGAGAATGGCGGGAAGGGGCGCCCAGAGAGAACCAGGGCGGCCCTCCTCCACCCACTGGGAGGAATCCGTCGGCTTCTGCATGGACAGGGGTGGTCTCTAGCTTGGAGGAGGGCAAAGTGGGATGCCAGCAAGTGGGACCTTCTGCTCCTCCTGTGTAGGACTCGGATCCCAGCCCAGGACATTTCCTTGGGTATCGGACTGGATCTCCCTTGCAGAGGCTCCCATGATGGAGGCGGGTGACCCCAAGAACCGATGAGAAGCCAATCCTCTTTGTCTCCCTCGTTTATTCTTTCCCCTCTCTATGATTTTGAAATATGTATTGAGAACATCCAGGTGATGTTCAGCCAGTCATCTAAAAGGCACCTGGATGTTCTCAATACATATTTCAAAATCATAGAGAGGGGAAAGAATAAACGAGGGAGACAAAGAGGCTGCCTGAGAAGGGAAATCTTGCATGTCATGGGCATCGTCACCACCACCCCACCAGGGATCCCTGTGTCCGGTGGAAAGGTCCTTGGACTTCAGTCCATTGGGCACTTTGGGGGAATTAGTGGGTCCTGGGGAGGAGAGGGTGCGCCTTTTCCGGGGGGAGTAGCTGAACTCCACTGAGCTCAGTGGGATGGGCCGTCAGCGCACCCTCCTCTCCCTCTTCCCCTTCTTTCCATCTGGAGCTGGTTTGC